TTTCCACATTATTACAAATAACTTCATTTCTGGACATTTATGGTTTGATTTCTTTGTATGTATGGATCACTTGGGTTGTTACCAACATCTGGTGAAAATTTCATGTCATTAGCCCCTCTAGTAATATATTTACTGAGAAAAATGGTGACGTGTTCAATACTTATTTTACCTGCTGTATGTATGTTTGTGGTTGTAATGTGACACAATATGGAAAAGTTCAAAGGGTATGAACACGTTTGAAAGCCACTGTAATGTCCCAACTTCATTGGAATTGTGGTTTTAGTTTAGTTGTTCAACCTTCCAAGAACTGATAAAAACCTCACCTGGGTTCCTCCAGCAGCGAGGACGCTGAGTCCAAACAACATGGCAGTGATGCAAATTAACAATTCAAGCACCAGGAAGATCACTAGAGTTCCCAGGATCCCGTCAATCAGCAGCTACCCAGAGGAAACCAAAAACATGTGATCAACAAGATGTTTCCTTCAGTCACTAAAGATTCCTCAGAAATAAAATAATAAAAATGGCTCAGAAAACACTTTGTATTGGTTAAAACATATCTGCCTTCTAAATGCACTCAATAACAAAAACATGATGTGACTTAGGAATTATTTGTAGCAGCAGTCAGTCACTTACTTTACACTTTTGCTCGATCAGCCCGGTGCATTTTCTGAAACAATGTTGCTGCAGTGGACAGTAAAGACAGAGAAACAGGAAGTCTGCTTCAGGTTCATCTCTTACTGAAGACAAGAAGCATCAGATGTCAGTGAATGACCTGCTGTATGCTGACCAGCCTGTCATCCTACACAACATTACAATACTGCTGATCAAACAGGACGTAGACAGGAAGCTTCTCTGTGTGTGCCAGCCTTCACCTCTCAGTTGTTTGTTTACACTCTGCTCCTAGTTGTCGTGTCAATTCAACGCCCGTCTAGTACTTCGGTGAGTTTATTGGAAGTGTTTCCAGTTTGCTGCCATGTAAGGATTCTGTTTTTGTAACTAAAGTAGTGATGGGCAGGTGAAGACTCATGGATACCGTTTAGGACCCCCTACTGGATTTACAATGGTTTGTGCGATTGTTTCAGGAGAACTGACGATAAAGTCAACGATGGAACAGGTTCTCATATTTTAAAGATCGGACTGTCAAGTGTTCTCAAACTTTTTGGAACTGGGGACCCCTTACAAGGGTGAAAAATTTCCAGGGACCCCCTCATAAACCCCATGCTGTTAGTGGAAAATAATTTTCTGTTATTTTTAACCCCTAAATGCCAAGGTAATCTTATTTTGTTTGGTTTACTATGCTTGTTTTACTAGTGCATTATTCCTCATATGCATTTTTCAAAATAAAAACCAACTTAACAGTTTACTGAATTTTTTTGAGGACCCCCAAGACACGGCTTGCAGACCCCACATTGGGAACCTCTGGCTTAAAGTGTTTCTATTGGTTCATGATGTACCAATCCCAGTGTTTCCCCTAGGGAATTGGTCTTGGGGGCCAGTGGCTGATCTAGGATTTTCTGAATAAGGGGCCATCAAGGGGCCACAACATTCTTAGAGGGGCCAAGTATTTATTTAACATCTTTGTACACAAATCTCTGATTTTGGTAAGATGTATACATTTGACCAGTCACATTTGTTCAAATACTTATAATGTAATTTTAAAAATCTTGCATGTAAATTCTCCTTACAAGTTTTACACACATTTTTTACTGTACATAGGTTAAATACTCTCAAACACACAGCATGTAAGAAAATCCAGCCATTGTTTGTTAGTGGAAAGACTTTTCCTGCAGGATTGTTCAAATCTCACGAAGAGAAAATGACATCTGTAAGCTTGATTCATGCTGGATATACCTATTTGACTAATTAGCACCTCTAGTGTTTGGACATGGAACTGCACCCAGCATCATCACTCTTGGGCAAAGGACAGATGAGTGACAGGACAGGAGCACTTCAGGGAGCCAATCAGATTTCAGTTGGGGCCAATGCCCCTGTGGCCCCGCCCCTAGAACCGCACCTTTTGGGGGCATGGTAAGACTCATGCATGTGAGTGAACTTTGTGAATATGAACCACATTTTCATCTGTTTTTGTTTTGTTTTTCCAAGTTTGGCACTTCGTAAGAGAGATGGATGTGGAGGAGTGACCGCAGAAAGAGCTCTCAAACTGATCTGGCGTTATTTAAACTAAAAGGACTTCATGCAATGACATTCTTATGGGGGATTGCACGCAATTCTATTGTATTACCTCATAATACATTTTACATTCCCTCAGAAAAGCTGTTTATTACTGTAAGTTTATTAACAAATTCACCTCCTCTCCATAATACCGGAGTTAGCCTACTACTTTAATTCAGCTGTGGATTAAATGTATCACAGACACACGCATGATGATCTTTAATATGCAGGCATTTTAACTCTGTGCAGCCACAAAATATCACTGTCAATTTTAAAAATGTCTGGCGCCACATTCTGTTTTGGTAACCGTATATTTCAAAATAAATGTCTGATTTAATTCAGTGGGAACCCAAAACAATATTGCGAGGGAACGCAAACGTTTGCGAGGTAACGCAAAGAGTTTTGTAAGGTAACGCAAAAGGATTTGCTAACCGCCAATCCACTATCTGAAAAACATTAGGCATGCAAACGTTAAACCAATAAACATGTAGGCAAATTAGTGGAAGCTAATGCTAACCGCTAACTCAAGACTTGTAATCAAAGCTGAAGCCTCTGAATCATTATTCCACCAGGATGTGGAGGATCCTTTTTGATAAGTTTCTCTATCTTTATGTACTGTCCTCAGCTGAGACACCTGAAGATACGGTCTGTTCCTCCTCACTTAACATTCCAACTACATTCACAAGCATTAAGTGTGAACTAAAACCACATTTTAGGGCTTTTCTCAACACTAATAAAATCATAACTGTGTCATAAAAAGTGATGATTTGTAAATGCATAATGGAGTATGAAAACTTTCAGTGTGTTTGTCATATTTGCAGCATTTTATGCTGAGCGATGACGTAAAAGCATTGGAAAAGCAAAGATGTGACATGCAAAGTTAATTTAAAGACTAACATTTTTAAACATTGTGTTTAATATTTTTCATTTATTGTAGTAACTATATTTAGTTTGATGACCTCTTTGAGTCTTTTATTCTGACATACTGTAATTTTCTGTCCTGCAAACATTGTTTCAGTCTTGCACCAGGCAAGACTCTTTTATTCCCAAAACAATGTGTTATATAAATCATATTTAGCCACAAATTAAATTCTCTATACTGTTAAGACCAGGATAGTACCAATATTCATCTTGCTGATGATCAGTAATTCAGATTTGTGATGTAATAAACTAAATTGAAAACCGGAACAACATATCACAGATAAGGCGAGTCGTTTTAAAGGTACACAGTTATCATTTATCGTACATGCAAAGCACGATGTCATTAGTTTGTGTGTATGATTTAAAGACAGTACCACAGCGTGCAGCTCCAGCCTGCGGCAGTGCTCACAGTGGTACGAGTCCTGGCGGTACGGCAGGTGTTTGGACATAAGGCCGAGAGCAGCTGTAGCAAACGCAGCGCTGATGAGATGCAGCACCAGGACACATTTCACCTGCAAACGTCAGCAAGAACTCATGTATGGAAACATTCAGACAACCAAGAATTCAAAAAGTTGAGCGGGAAAAACAAACATTTGACAGTTTAGCATTGCACTGTATTCTCATTTGATGTGCAGCTGAATATTTTTCTTAGGAATCCCAACAGGTTAAGCTAAACAAGTTACAGGCTAAGGTTGATTTGATCAGTCATTGTGAATTGGTAATTAATTTTAACCACTGTAAACAGCATTTTGAACAATCTCAGATTGACAAAACAGTGTTTGCATTTGCTAATAGCTAAATCAAAAGTGGATTATAAAACATCTTGAATCTCCAGTACTTCGAAGCCGTTCGTACAAATGCTATTTTATAAACCTTTACGCTCCAAATATTAAACATTACAATACTTTTTACCCAGAGTTTTATAATTATTCATAAGGATAAATGGCAAAAGCAACAGCTAGCTTTAACAAGCAAACATGTAGCACTAACCCTACTGCTGTTGCTTTTTATAATTGTAAATAATCACAGAATCCCTCATAAATGACCATGTAATGCAAAATTAAAGAATCTCCTGCCTAAACACTTGCTGGTACAAAGCTCCGCCTACTGTACCAATAGGACCTCCCTGGAGCTCAGTCTGCAGCCGAGCTCCCGCCCCCCTTCCACTGAAGCATTGTTGTGATAATGTGCTGAAGTGGGAGTGTCTGGAATGGTAGGTGACAGCAAAGATACATTTTTAGTTTTTATAAATAGTATCTGCTCCCACTTTTGCTTTTTCACAGAAAACAGGCTGTAGAGTGGAGGACAGCAGCGACACATTTCGCCCACATGACGAAATGATGTCATTACGTACGCCGTGCATGACGTATAGGGCAATGTGGGCGAAAAATATAGCCGCTATCGATTACTATTCCGATTACTGGATGACGTCATCATCAACTCATAGCCTCATAGCAGTGTAAGAAAATTTAGTGTTCGTTAACTGAAATCGTGACAGAACCACATGAATGTGGAAGAGATTAAAATGTGAAGGGAAGGACCATACAACACCAGTTACTGGAGTGAACCGTGGTTTAATGCTCTCTCTGCAGACATGAAACCAACGATGAATCAAAACCGGAAGTCCCGGTCTATAAATACATGGTTCTTCAGTGCCTGGTACGCCCACTACAGGCCTACGGCTGAATCGCAGACACTCATATAGACATCCTGTCCTCATGTTTGATTAACAGGTTTTTTATGTGTTGTGATGGTGTTTCAGGCACGTATCTAAACCTATTTTAATCAAAACATAACAATAGTCAAACAATAGATTATAAGAATGAATAATTAAAAAGGAAAACTATGAATATGGTGTAGTGCAGGGGTTCTTAATCTTTTTGACCTCAGGGCCCAATTTATTGAACATAAAGTGACACAAGGCCCAGTCAGACATTACTAATGTATGGATCAAAGTGATAATTATTCTAAATCTTGGTTTAATTTTTATTGTACTTACATTGTAACTAAATTAAATACACTTACAGTTTAAAAGTAAAACTCCTGTCAAATAATCACAAGACGTGATTACAAAAAACATTTTTATATTGTAACCTGCCCATAACAATTAATTGAACAAATACAAAGG